ATCTTAGCTATTATAAGAGCACTGTACTGGATTTTAATCACAAGGAGAACTGACTATGCTCTTAAGTGTTTATAATCGTACTTATACGACATTTGTTTTCATCAGATACAATATATATGGTCCTCATTAGAACTTAATCTCTACTTTTTATTTATCCATATTACTCATTTATTAAATCAGCAAATTTTAACTGACCAACTGCTATGTGCCAGACACTGTGCAAGAAATAAACCACATAAGAAACAGACAGTTCCTGTCCTTAGGTATAATAAAGTAAGGGAAGGCAGACGGGAAGTCAACAGTAGCAATACAATGCACCTTTTGCATAGAGCAAGGACTATTTCTAGGAATTCATTTGAGGTTGCAAAATGATGATATATATATTTTTTTGTATCAGTTGGAATACTTTTACAGAGACCATTTTACCATTTGGTTATCCAGTGGAACAAGAAAGGTAGAACAAAATGCTTAATTTTTTCCCCTTTATTTACAAGTTTTCAAGATTAGGAACCATCCCTATCACCTTTGGAAGAAGATCCTTTTTTTAAGTACCATGAAGAACTCAAGGACTTCCGTATATTTAATGGGTTTGAATCTGTTTTATTATTATTGCTGAGGCTCAAACTGTCCAATTTGGGGCTACTGCAAGCCTTTTCAGGATGTCTCTTCAAATCCTTTGACATGTCTTCAGTAGCTTCCCTGCTATATGGTGTTATGACAGAAGTTTCCAGGCTAAATACTGCCTGACAGACCTGCTATTTGTCATTTCTCCAAGAAATCCTGATTTCTTTTAGTGAGTGAGACCATAACCTGGGCAATCAGGATATACATATTGCTACTGGATTGATCATTGTTTCTAGGCCTGTTTCCTAGGCAAAAGGGCAGAGCTAGGGAACTTATAGACATGTATGTATATGTCTCAAGTTCATATTGATACTTCCAATTCAAATTTAAGAGCATAGCGTTTTACTGAACATTTTCTCTATTACATCTGTAACTCCTTTTTTATACACCAAGAATCTTGGTGCTCAAGGATACAAGAGATGATAGAATTAAAATACCCTCTATTAGGCATTTATCATATCACTCACATGGATTTCAGAAAAACAATATTAATACTACCACCAATATTGAGTACTGGTAACACGAAACATTTTTTTGCATAAGCTTTCCCCACTCTCTGCATTTATTTTATTTTATTTTTTTAATTATTTTTTTATTGCGAAATACACATTTTTTAGAATTAGTTTCAGCTGTACAACACAGTGCAATAGTTATACTTTTTACCTCTCGAGGTGACAACCCCCCTCTTCCTCCCCATTTATTTTATAGTTGTACTATCTATACATTGCCAAAGCATATAGCCATTGTAAACTAAACTTACTCTCTCTTAACTCTGGTTTTATTTTTATTCGACAGGTAAAGTTCGACTATATATAATGTTCATCACTGGTCCTTATGTTGATGTCTCCCTAGTCATTTCAATTGCCTGAAGTTCATTAGATTCCTTGAGGAAGTGCTCAAAGGAACATACATATTTCCTGAATTCTTGTACACTAATAGTTTATCAGCTTATCCTTTACACTCAAAAGTCAGTTTGCTGGGCCAGCTGAACGGCTCAGTTGGTTAAGAGTTGGCTTGGGAGCACAAGCTCTGAGCAGCAGGGACGCCGGTTCAGTTCCCACATGGGCCAGTGACACTGCCCTCTACAGCTAAGACTGTGAACAACAGCTCGACCTGAAGCTGGGCTGCTGTAAGTGGCCAGTGATGGTGTAGGCTGCAGTCCCTGCTGCAGTGGGCTGCCGTGAGCTACTGTGAGTGGCCGGCAGCTGCCTTGAGCGGCTGTCCAATGGCCAGCGACCGACTGCCTCAGCTGGGAAGAGCTCAATGATCATAATACCAACATGGGCCAGTGAAGCGGTGTCCTCCACAACTAGACAAAAGAACAAAAGGACAGCAACTTGTCTGTTCTCCTCCCCCAATTCCCCAATAAAATCTTAAAAAAAAAAAAAAGTCAGCTTGCTGATTATGTTACTCCATTTTCTTCTGACATAAAGCACTGGTGTCAAAAACTGTGATGGGAACCTAATTTTCTTTTCCTTATAAGTCATGTCTGTTCTTTTAAATAACCAAAGCTTTTTGTCTTTTTCTTTAAAGTCCAGTAAGTTTACCAGACTAGGTCTTGGTGTTGGTGATCTGAATCAATACTTTTAGGTACATGGTACATTCTTTCAAAATGCAGTTTCAAATATATATTTTTTTAACTTCAGGAAAGTTTTAATTATAGTTTTAGTATTTGTTCTATTAAGTTGCTTTGATTTCCTTTTTCAGGAACCCCTATTATTTGTTTTCTTTGCCTATCTTTTTTATTAGTTACTTTCTCTTAAACCTTTGTCTTTTAAAATTTCCTCTTCTTTCTACCTTTTTTTTTTCTCATGACATCATTTGTTCTTGCCTTTGCTACTTTAGGCTCCATTTCTAAAATGATTTTTTATTTATGTTTAATTTTCCCTAAGTTCTGTCCCTTATTTCTGAATTTTCAATAATTGATATATGTTGTTCTTTCATGTCTTATATCATTTTCTTAGTGCCTTTTAGCTCAGTCTGAAATAGTAGGTTACAGTTTTGGTCTGTTTTGTGTGCATATTTTTATTGCAAGATTTTATCATCTAGGGGAATACTATTCTGTTCCTTTTTTCCCTGTAATAACTTTGCATGTTATTTGACCTTGACACTTTTCTGTTGCTCATTTTTATGTAAATTTAATTTTCCTGAACTTTTAGAATGAGGAGGGGTTCAAGAAAGCTTAACTTCACAAGCTCCCTCTTCTGCTGTTTTGGGGTAGTGTTAAAAAATTTGGTGGTTTGGTTGGTGGTTTGTTTTCTAAGATTTCTTGACTCTGTAACCCTCCCTCACTTTCATCTGGACCTTCCTCTTCTCTTTTCTCTATTGTCCCTTTTCTGATAAAATTTCATTTTACTCCCAGCAGTTTCTCCTTAGGGTGGGCTCTGCCTTACAATGGCACCTTGGCAAGTCAGTTTGCAGAGTCCATAGAAGGTAGACTGCTCCTGCCCTTTAAAAACCCTCAGTCACGGCTACTGTTATCTAATTGGTCCTCAGAGTCTTTTAGTGAATATTCCGGAGTTCTCTTGTTCTCAGGTCCATAAGGTATTTCCCCATTGCTTCCTTCCTTCTCTTGCAGAAATGCCAATACCGATTGGGTCTAGAAGCTATTGGTAATTTGTCCTCAACTCCTTATATTCGTGGGGATACCCTGTTACGTGGTTTTGTTGTAATTGTTCTATGGATTTTAGATTTTGCTATCTGATTGCTCTTCTGTTTTTATGTAAGGATTCAGAGATCTATGCTGCTATCACCACCACCACCCACCATCTTTCCAGAATCCACCCCTCCTTCCAACCTCTTTCCAACCCTCTTCCCCCCAGAGCGAGCTTTTGAACCATTGTGATTTAGGCATTCCCATCTTTTAAGTACTGCTTGAGAGAATAGCATGGTAACCCTTTATAACATTTGCTTTTGTTGTTGTTGTTAACTACCAGAATCAAACATTTTTTAAACACATCATTTTGATGAGCCCAGTTTAAGTCTATCCTTAGTGTTCACATCATAAAACTGCCTTGACGAGACTATTTTTGTTCTTCAGTAACAAACTCCTCAGCATGGAGAGAATAAGGGATACTCTCACCAAACCAAATTCTATGCCAAAGAGTACAGAGTAAAAATATCACTGAACAAATTATGTATTATCAAGTCAGCTTCAATAACAATCACATATTTTTTCACTTGGGAGATAAAGTGAATGATGCATGGCAGGTACTCAAACCTTTTTTGAACGAAGGACCAGGAAAAGTCAAAGTTAGTAGTCTCTATTTCTGCAATATACTAGTAACCTTTTTTACCCTCTTCTCTGGAAAGAAATGTCTCCCTAAATCTAACTCAACCCATGTTTAAAATAAAGATAGGCTACCATTTTAAAAATTATTTTTAAGCTTTTCCTCATTTACCAAAGCTGTTTGTGACCCAACAACAAAGAATCCTTTCTGGAAATGTAGCCCTATCTTCAAGCTATGGTATATTTTTAAAAAGATTAAACCATAATTTAATAGACAGCATGAATACAATGCTATCTAACAACCAATTCAATTAGCTATACACATTTCAAAAATAACTTTTTTTTCTGTAAAATGTAAAACGGACAAGAGGTCCACTAAAATCATTAAATGTGACAAACACGTAGCACACAAAGTCTAGCAGTCTAGTAACTGTTTTCTAGTCTTTCTACAGTTCCAATATATCAACTGCATTTTTGGAATAGATACACAAACGTCACCCTGGGGTCATTATACACCAAATATTGTTATTAGTAGTGTTAGTGCTCTAACAATCCGTTTCTCTATCTCTCCCTCTCTGACATACACACACACACTCACACACTCCTCCAAACAATGCCCCCTTCCCCGCCCAAGTGTATTTTGGCTTTTTTAGAATGCGCATGTCAAAAGTCCAGGCGTTGTGGGTGGGGTGCAGCCCTCCTCTAGCTAAGAAGAGTAAACAAGGGGGTTGCTTTGCGGAGGCGGCAGTAATGGTCTGTCAGTGGGTCTGTGGCCTTGGGCGGGCCCAGAGGTCCGAAAAGGCCTTCGCCCGGCTCTGCACAGGGAAATGCACCCTGCAGCTCCCGGGGAGTACAGGGGGGGAGCTCGCTAAAGCCTACTTCCTCAGGACTCGATTTCGGAATCGCGGAAGGCCCTGCCTGGCAGGGAGCTGTCAGAACGGCGGCGCTCGCGGAGGCTCTGCCCACAGAAACGCAACCTGTCTTCGCCCCATACGGATCGTCCCGGTGTCTGCAGCCCTTCTGCTCCCTCCCCTCGCCACCCATCCGGCAGACGACAAGCAGAAGGGAGACTGGAGAGCCCCCGTCCCCAGGTGGAGCGGGCCGCGGGTCCTCGGCCTGCGCAGCCGCTACCCCCTCGCTCACCCACCTGATGCTCTTTCACCACTTCGCTGAGGCAGGGATACCGTTCCGAGATCCATCGGTAAAACTTGGGAACTCCCATTTCGACTGTCAATAGGAACTCCAGTCAGGGCCAAACCGAAACCAAACGCCCCGCCGGGGCCTACGCCGCCGCCCCCGGCCGTCGCTCCGCCGATGACAACACACAGCCCGTCGGATCATAGAGAGCGCCCGCCGGGCCTAGAGCGGCCGGTTTCGAGGCCACATCCCCGGGGCGGGGCTCGAATCCGGCTGCAACTCACCGCCGGTATGCCCGCTGGTGGTCACATCTAAGAGCCGGAGGCGTTTGCTATGTGGGTGTTCAACTCAGTTCTTATGCCAGTTTATAGACCATAAGGGGATTTCCAAGTGTTATGAAAACCTCGCCTGACTGCTGGAAGAATACTGATTTTTGTCCTGGCTGCTTTAGTCTCCTGTGATGCTCATCTCAGTATTTTTCAACACAGATTTGGAAAGGTCTGGTGATTTATTTGGTTGTTTTGTTTGGTGAGGGTAAGTTTTTTTCAGCAAAGTTTCTTTTAAAAACGTTCTTTAAAAATTTGTTGATAAAAATTTCCTAATCCCCTCCACCCCCGCCCAGCTTCCTCCTTAACTCTTAATATTAGGCCTTTGATAGGAAATAATGTGTTTAGTTTTCACATTCATACCTCTTGGCTTATAGTGTTTCCCCCATCACTCTTTCCACCATACAAAAAAAAGCAGAATTCTCTCAAGTGAACTTAAGTGAAATCAACGTTATAAGAAGAGTTCTCCATTTATTTGAATGTAATTAATTGCTTTGTAATTATTATGAATTATTTTAAATCTTCTGCAGGAAAACATGAAAAAATTTAATCACATTAAAAAATTTTTGTAGTTTAAAATCTCATGAAATTTCCAGTATTGCTGCCTTCCACGACCACTAGATTCTGAATGCAGGTGCACTTTTAGTATGGCAGCATCTTCAAAATTACAGAATGTTTATATGGTTTTCATAGTCATACTTCTTGGCTTGTTTTTTTTTTCTCTATTACATTTTTAAACCATACACACAAAAGAGTTTTATTTAGTGAACTTAATGATGTGCTATTTGTTTATATCTGTTTTACTAGACTGTCAATTTCTAGAGAGCAGGGGACATAAGCTCTGTGCAAAAATCGAGCACAGTGCTTTGTTCACAGAATGTATTCAACATAATATTTTTGTATTCAAATGAATCCTTATGCTAATGAGTGCTTAAAAATAAAAATTGTAAAGTGAAATTAGGCTGCCTTGTTTCTTGCAAATACATGTTTTTGGAGTATAAGAACATACGATGTTCCATTTCTCTGGTTATAATACACAGTATATATTAAGAAAGCGATTTATTTCTTAATAACAACATATTATTTAAATATTATTAACAATCAAGGAGAAATAATACCAGTTGCTCTCAGAACATAAAGCAGCTTATGTTGTACTTTGGAATTGAATAGATACAACCACAAATTAATACCAAATGTATTAATTTTAGGTTATTAACATATTCTTTGAAGTAATTTCATTTCACATATATGGGGTCCAACCAAGGTACATTTGGCATAGTAAGTTTTCATCAGTAGCTTCCTGTATAAGGTAATGCACATGTCCTTCAATAGATAATGGCAGTCCTGTCACTCTATTTCGGGTTTTGATTACACCTTGCAGTCTCTGCTCGATGTCAAGAACATGGGTCTTGGCCTAAAAGGAAGAAATTGAAAATCATAAAGGCTAAAGACACAATGACATGTGCATGTTGATCATTTGGAGTTACTATCTTTCTGTTATTTAACAAATGTTAATGCCATTTTACCCCTTTTGTAAGAGCAAATACAAAACAGAGAAGAAATGAAACAAGTACAATAATCTGAGATATTCATTTTAAGGCTTGCAATGTTGAACCAACGTCAGCTGCTTAGACATTTTTCTGGACTGTATGAAATACCAGGGAAATGTCTTCCACATTATAATTCTAGAAAAATAATAACATTAAAAAATCAACCCTGAACCTGTTTCGGACTTAAACATTTGAATGAATATTCTAATAATAGCAACAATAATCTAATGCCTAGTATTTAGATTGTTAGTATATGCAAATAGAAGTTCTAAATGAACTACTTGAAATTCTACACATTTCTCTCAATAAAAAAGCATATCAGAATTCAAAAGTAAGAATGATGTTAGAAAAACAATCTTCAATCTGTTCCAATTATTAAAAATAACTATCAGCAAACTTTGATGCTTCAATTAATATTAGTGAGTGAATTCTACATACGAGGCCTGATAATTAAGTCCACGAACTTGTCAACGCTGTTGCTAACATTTTTTTATATCAGAGGCATTATTCATTATGAATTTGTACCAACTGGACAAACAGTTAACCAAGTTGACTATTTGGAAGTGCTGAAAAGGCTGCGGGAAAAAGTTAGATGACCTGAACTTTTCACCAACAATTCATGGTTCTTGCATCACAATAGTGTACCAGCTCACACATCACTGTCTGTGAGGGAAATTTTAGCCAGTAAACAAATTGGAGCACCCTCCCATCTCACCTGATCTAGCCCCAATGACTTCTTTCTTTACCCGAAGATAAAGGAAATACTCAAAGTAAGACATTTGGATGACATTCAGGACATCGAGGATAATACGACAGCTCTGATGGCCATTCCAGAAAGAGTTCCAAAATTGCTTTGAAGGGTGGAATAGATGCTGGCATTGGTGCATAGCTTCCCAAGGGGAGTACTTCAAAGGTGACCACAGTGATGTTCAGCAATGAGGTATGTAGCACTTTTTCTAGGATGAGCTTGCGAACTTAATTGCCTGACCTCGTATTAAAGCTGAACCTGTGCCAGCGGAGTGGCTCAGTTGGTTAAGAGTTAGCTTAAGGGCCGACCAAATGGCTCAGTTGATTAAGTTAGCTTAAGAGTGCAAGCTCTGAGCAACAGAGCCGTCAGTTCGATTCCCACATGGGCCAGTGACACTGCGCCCTCTACAGCTAAGATTGTGAAAAACAGCTCGACCTGGAGCTGGGCTGCTTTGAGTGGCCGGCAACAGCATAGGCTGCAATGGGGCTGCAGTGGGCTGCTGTGAGCTACCATGAATGGCCAGCAGCCAGTGTGAACGGGTTGGCAGCCGGCGAGAGCTGCCATTAGCTGCCACGAGCAGCTGTCCAATGGCCGGAGACCAACTGCCTCAGGTGGGCAGAGTGCAATGATTATAATACCACCATGGGCCAGTGAAGTGGCATCCTCCACAACAAGACTGAAGAACAAAAGGACAACAATTTGGCTTTCCCCTTCCCCAATTCTCCAACACTGTTCCCCTCCCCCAATTCCCCAATAAAATCTTAAAATAAAAAAAGAGTTAGCTTAAGAGTGCGAGCTCTGAGCAACAGGGCCGCAGATTCAATTCCCACATGGGCCAGTGAGCTGCGCCCAAGCTGAGCTGCCAACAGGTGGCAGGATGGCCCAGCTGGAGAGAGCTCATGCTCCTAACAACAAGACTGCCTGTTCGATGGTGGGCTATGCCCGCCCACAACTAAAGACTGAACTCGGCACCTTGAGCTGAGCTGCCGCCTGGATGGCTCAGTGGATAGAGCGCGTGCTCTTAACGACAAGGCTGATGGTTTGACTCCCGCATGGGATGGTGGCTTACACACACCCGCAACTAAGATTGTAACACAGCACCTTGAGTTTAGAGGCCACGAACTGCTGATGGGCAGCCAGATGGCGACTGGTGCCCTCTGCAACTAAGATTCAAGAACAACAACTTGGCTGGTCCCCTTCCCCATCTCCCCAACACTTTCCCCTCCCCCAACTCCCCAATCTAAAAGAAAAGCTGAGACCTGTTACTCTGTAAGTCTACACAATTTGTGTTAAAGTTTTTCTCCCTCTGTCTCATAATTGTGAATTGTCTATGGTTAAACAAGTATGTCCTGAACTCTGCTTTTATTACACAAAGATAATGTTAACATTTTAATGACAATGAAGAAAACTTAGGGCATTGACATACTACACAGAACTGGATTTTAGAGTACTCAATGACAGTATTTAGAATCACCTTGCAATATCATATCTACCTACACCTCTACTAACCTTTTCATTGACAACTTCCCCAGTTTCATTCAGTGATGCTTTGGAATGCCCTTTTACCGGTTTACTCCATTCCACAAGAGGATCATGTAGAAAAGTCTTTAGGACACTAAAATGGAAACAAAATTATGGTAATAATACAGTGTTATCCTTGTGAAAAGAAATCTTAGGGTAAACGGGGTCAAATATATGGTGATGGAAGGAGAACTGATTCTGGGTAGTGAACACACAATGTAATGACAAGGATGTAGACTTCTCTCCATGTCTACTCAACATTGATCTAGCTAGGGCAATTGGACAAGAAAAAGAAAAGGCACTGAGACTGGAAAGGAAGAAGTAAAACTATCTTTACCTGCAGATGATGTAAAGAAAAAAATTTAAGGTATCTACAAAAATATCTTATCTACAAAAATAACTATTAGAAGTAATAAACAAATTCAGTGAGGTTGCAGGATACAAGATCAATATACAAGTATCAGTTTATTTCTATACACAGCAATCAACAATTAAAAATGAAATTAAGAAAATTCCATTTAGAATAGCATTAAAAGGAATAAAACACTTAGAAACAATTTTTAAAACTTAAATACGAAACTTGCAAACCAAAAACTACAAAATGTTGAAAGAAAGAAGACTTAAATAAATAGAAATTCTATGTGCATGGATCAGAAGACTTAATATTGTTAAGATGGCAATACTCCTCAAATTTATTTAGATTCAATGTCATTCCTATCAAATCCAGGCTGTCTGTTTGCAGAAACTGACAGGATGACCTTAAAATTCATATGGAAATGCAAGGGATCCATAACAGCCAAACAATCTTGGAAAAGATGAAAACTTTGAGCACTCACACGTCTTGATTTCAAAACTTACTACAAAGCTACAGTGATCCAGACAGTGTATGTTCTTTGCATAAGTTAGACATAAAGATCAATGGAATAAAACTGAGAGTACAGAAATAAACCCTTATGTACATGGTCAATTGACTACAACAAGTGCCAAGACAATTAAATGGGAAAAATAATCCTTTTAAAAAATGGTGCTGAAACAACTGGATATGCATATTCAGAAGAATAAATACGGACCCCTACCTCACACTAGATAAAAAAAATAACTGAAAATGCTCAAAGATATAAATATAAGAGCTAAAACTATAAAACACTTAGAAGAAAATATAGGTGTAACTCTTCATAACTTTGGATTATGCAATAGTTTTTTAGATATGACACTAAAAGCACATATAACAACAAAAATAGGTAAACTGGAATTTATCAAAAGTGAAAACTTTTATGCTTCAAAGAGCATCATCAAGAAAGGGAAAAGACAGGCCGGCCGAGTGGAGCGTTGGTTAAGAGCTGGCTAGGGACGCCAGAGGGCCCCGGTTCGGATCCCACATATGAGGGCCAGTGACACTGCCCTCTACAGCTAAGATGCTGAAAGG